GCGAGCAGTTCTTGGAAATGGGGGGCGGCGAGCAGTTTCTGGGAAGAATCTGTTCAATGGGCGGCGAGCACTTCCAAGAAGTGCTCTCCACCCCCCTCTCCTGTGGATGGCTGTTCATGAGCCTGTGATCCTTCTGCCTCTCCACTTTGTGTTTTTCTTTTCTGACTCCAAGCGGCTAGCACTTCCTAGAAGTTCTCTCCACCCTCTTGTTTCCTCCTCTTTCAACAAAAAAAATAAATTATAGGTTCCCATGGAGTCTGTATTCCCTACCTCTACACCTCAAAGGGGCAGGTGGCTAGCACTTCCTAGAAGTGCTAGCCGCTTTTGACACCTCCCATGTACCGCTAAAGTGGAGAGCACCTCCTTCATCCCTCTCCAAGTTGACTTTGGAGCTAAGTGCAACCCAGGACCCTCCATCCCAAAAGAGTTCCCAGCAATAGGTTTCCAAACCAATGCACCCAGCCTCTTTCCACCCACTAAGCGCGATGGACTTTGCAATGTCGAGCACGCTCGCCATATTTGGCACCCTCCAGAATGATGAGTCCCCAAAGTTCCACTGCAAGATGGTTGAGGAAAAGAATGCGCCCGTGGAAGGCGGAAATTCCTCCACTGGATGAATTGGGTGGCTGACCGGTAGCAGTAGTGGTAGTATCAGTATTACTATGACTGCTTGCCCCATATCCAGCAGTTTCGTTGGCTTGAACCCTCCAAACAGTTCTGACAGTATAACCATGACCCTTCCCGTCCTTCATTTTCATGAACTTCTCTTTCATGTGAACAGCGTCAGCTGTCTCTTCCACCATTCCCACAAGCTTCAAAAAGCGAAGGCTGTCCTGAATAAGGGTATCCATGTCTCCCCACGCGCGCTGGACCACTTCTTGGAAGGTACCCCCCTCTGCAAACGGCCACTCACGCTTCTGGTCTTCAGGTAGCCCATGGCGAGCTTGATACACTTCAACGATCCATTCCTTCAAGCACAATCTCACCGGGGCCACATCCTTCACTGAGGCTAGGAAGGAACTCTTGAGATTCATGCCAGCCACCTTCTGGCGCTTCTTTGGCGGCATGACTGATCAAGGAGATCTGAGATCGCAAACCCCCCCTCGCAGAGCCAAACCTAAAACACGCAGTAAGAGGAAACTCGGTGTCAGGAATCAAGATGCCGCACGAACTTGAAAGTGAACTCTGTTAGAACGAGGGAACAGGCTGACAGGCACACTTTGTTCAATGCCGAATGCAATATTCATCTGAATATTTGAAGCAAAACCGGAGACAATGGACCTGGAGTTTCTTTGACCAATGATTCACCCCAGGCAGCAAATGCGAAATGAAAATAAAATAGATTCTGGACGGAACACCAAATTGATAAACAAACTGTTCAATTGTTCACTCAGATCACATTGTTCCAGCCAACATAATGCTAATTGGTTTCATGGTCAATCTAGTGCTCAGTGCTCAGGCTGCCAGTTTGCCAAAGCCGTCAGAAGGGCACCCAGAGCAACTGGCACGGAAAACCTGAAAAGATCGCTCTTGGTGGCTAGGTTAGTGCCAATGGCCAATAGCTCTTGACTGAAGACATTGCCCTGCCAGAGGTAGCTAGGACATGTCATAAACACAAAGCAACATGTTGAAATCAAAGTCACGAGTTTCCAATGAAGTCTCTCATCTTCCGGTCTGGCACTTTCGACATCTTGTACTTCTCCCAATCAGTGCCTCCAACTCCCTGCAGGCACGCCATCTCCTGCACAAATTCCACTAGTTAAGACTCATCAACAAAGAACATCATATCAAACGCAGTGGTTTGGGATGCATGAGGTTAGCCGGAAGCGGTTGTGCAGTGGAATATTTAACAAACAGCTCCTTTGCGCACATTTGCCTGAATCCTTGGTCTCCCGTGAGGATGTACTTGCCACCCGGGATTAAGCAGGTCGTGGTGAACAAGTTTTCTTTGGAGAAGTTCTGCCTTCCAAAGTTCTGGTCCTGATCAACTAAAGTCATGATACAGATACAGATTGAACAATTGAACTCAAAGGCACAATATTCCGCAAAAAAGTTTGTAGGAAACTGAGTATGATACCACCTGCACAGATAGTGTTTGTGCCATGGCATCAACCTCCTTCGATTGAAAGATCTCTTCGATGGAGCAAGCGAGAATCGACAGCTCCCGTTCACTGCACGACATCGCCAAAGGGCGGAGCTGCTTGAGGCGCTTGTCCACTTTCACCTCACATGTGGCAACGCAAAGCGGTGAGCTATCAGAAACCTCGCACTGCTGACTTGAAAGCAGTTACTGCTTTTTGAAGTAACGTTCAATTCCAGCAAAAAACAATACGCATGGCAAACAGACTGCTGTTGATCCCAGCTGACCTTACCCAGTCGTTCTCGCTCTTGCTCTAGGCCTTTCTTCCACTTGGAGTCAGTAGGATCACGTTGCTGCTTTTTCGTGACATCATCTGATTTGGAAGAAGGCTTGGGTGGGGCGAGGCATGATGACAATGGAAGTGGGTCAAACTCAAAAAGACCCATGTCTCCCCGGATTGTGTCCTCGAGAACTGGGTCAGCTTCATGAAGACATATCAGCCATGCACGCCTACGTTGCTGGGGTAGGCCATAATGGGCGGTGTTGCAGTGTAGTGGGACAACCAAATACCCCAGCTTATTGAGCCTCTTCTCAATGACTTCATACCTGAGCCGTAATCACCACCGAACAAGAGGTCTAGTTTTGGACTTGTCACAATATATGGTTATATATTATTATGTCAAATATTATGATATAAACAATGCTTGGAACAATTGTGACTAGGTACGCTGAGGTCCCGCCTTCGACCTTTGTACGGGAGAAAAGACGCATCACATTCTCCAGTATAAGTACTGATGGACGGTGCTTGCGGCAATACCCCTCTATTCCAAGGAAACCTTCTCCAGACACACATGAAGGATCCAATACTGATCCCGGAGAAATGGTCAAAGCAGAGATGGACTTGCAGGGAAAGCCTCCAACAAGGAGATCCACCTGTCAGCAAAAGGCTTTGATGAAATTCTACAACGTCTGCTTAAATTCAATTGGTTTGGATTGTGAACCCAACAACAAAAGAAGTCAAAAGACCTACCTTGGGAATTCTGCGATGCTCACCCGAAGCAGTCTCTGCGTGATCACCTGACAAGTCCTGCACGTCCTTGAAGCAGTTGCGGGCGTGAAAACGGGTCTGCAAGTACTCCATCTTGGAAGGGTCATTCTCCACCATGAACATCAAGTCGGCCTGTGAGTGTGTGTGTGTGCACATGTATGTATGTGTATGTATTTGTTGGCAGTTTAGAATAACCCCATTGAGTAATGAGTATATAATCGTTTCATTTCTGACTCTCTTAGCCTCTTTGAGCCAGCAGCTATTGTAGTACAGTATCTCGTTAAATCTAGTGGTTTCCTCCCCTCAACTTCCATTCCCTGTAGGCACACGCCAATCCCCAAATTCCCAATCTTCTTGGTGAAAAAGATACGCCATCCTGCCTTAATTTGGTTATTTGGATGCACTTCATTCCAGCGACACCCAAACTCCTCCATAACCATCTCGAGAACGCCCCAGCCGCTGCAACAGCTTCCAACCTGTGCGCCACATGTGTTTTGGACAAGTTGATAATTCCTCGGCCACAATATCATAAGAATATGAGTTGCTCGACAGAAATTAAACAAACAAAATGTAATATCACATATCTCACATTTGACGTGCCTTCAAATTGTCGACTTTGGAGAGTCTTGATGCCAACTTTGTGCGAAGGCCCTGGAAATGGTCCATCTGAAAGAAGGCATCCACAAAATTGCCCACCTTGGATGAATGAACATTCTAGATCTATAATCTATATCGGCTATATCTTGGGACCTGGGTTTGGTGGTTCGTTTGAAGTACAATCCTTGGAGCGATCAACAAGTTGAACTGGTTGACATTAAGTGCAGTTTCAAAACGTTTACGACCGAGGATCCCCTGGGTTCTGAAATGGTAGATTGCGCCCTCGTTCACCCTCTCCAACCATGACCAGTCCCCCATCTGAATCTGAAGCATGCATGACCTCGTTCACCTCCTCGTTCACCTCCTCGTCCACCGGGTAATCTCCTGCAGGAAATGGAAACCGCTAATTGAAAAAACATCACGTTCCGTTCGAGGGACATTATAAAGAGATATAAGAGCAAAATCAATTTCAGCCCAGCACGTAGAGAGAAGACACATTGCAATGCGTGTCAAGTCCTTCATCGCAATCAGAGGCAAATAGAATGTCTTCGTCTTCTCGCTGGGAAGGCGCTAAATCAACGCTCCTGGCATTCAACGATTCTTGTTCTTTGGATCTAAAGCCCCTTTGGAATTTCCTCACGCTGGGTGAGCATCCAGTACCTATATGCAAGGTGGTGAAACATACCTGACTGAATGAACAGGCCTAGAAATTGCAATCCTTTTGAAACCAGATTTTATGATTGATATGATATGATTATTTTATGGACAATGGGTGTTATTTCGACTCTGGACCCAGTCATTCACTGAATGACCTTAGCGCAATCCTAATATATAGTATATATTATATAATATATATATATATACAATGTAGACCAAACAGAGATATGCAGTACAGGTTTGGAGGACCCAAGCCAACGGCCTTCTTTTCCGCACAGTCTGACTTCCGTTTAATCAGCTGTGAGCTGAAGGGGCAACTGCACCTCCCCCTCATCCCCATCCTCATCCTCATCACTCGCGGAATCCCCCTCAGGCAAACGCTGAAGAGTCACATCAAATCTCTTGAAACGTCGAGGCACCTGCCACGTCCCTGGGTTGCGCTCCTCGCGGCGCAAGTCTGGATCATATCTGTGCCTGAGAATCTGGTATGAATCAGGCCGTGGATGCTGGCGAAGGGTTCCAGAGACCCAATCCAGCAAGTAGCGTGCTGCTTTTTCCGAGAGTTCGCCCAACCGTCGGCATTTGGGAACCATCGTTTTCAAATTCTTGGTGACCTGGGAGGAAATGGACCTGTGGGGCGCTATCCCTGCTGGCGGAGCCATGCCTACTCTCATTTGTTTTGCTTGAAATGCTGTCACGAGTCCAATCACTCGCTGAACTGGCACATCATGAAGCCAACGTTTGGTGACTAGGAAGATGTCGTTCGGGTCAGGTGCAGCTCCACAGCCACGCGGGAAATCTTCAACTTCAGCAACATTATTCAATGTTTCTGCTCCAATATCTTGTCTCAAACAAATTCGCAGGTAGTGGACCCTGCGCATGCCCATGACTTTGATGCCGCACTGGGCAACCCACTCTTTCCAGCATGCCACCTGATCTAGTTTGCACGCTTCCGCTGAGCTCCCTTGTATGCGAGCAGTTGCCCTGTCAGGGTTTCGTCCAGCTGAGCGATTGATCAATTCGATCAGGTCCGAGGGACTGTCAAAACTCTTCCCTTGTATCAAGCGGGCGAGTTGCCCAAAACACTGATCCACATCTTCGTGTGAATGAGCTGTGCGCAAGAAGGCCATGGTGCAATATTTGAAGGAACCCTGTATCACCAATGCCAGTAGGTAGGTAAAGACATAAGTGTTTTTGCCCTCTCGTGGACAGTTGTCCGCTTGGACATGAAGTCCAAGCGGCAACTGTCTGCAGGAATTCACCAGGTCGGACGAGCATCGTGACAAGATCTCGATCTGGGTTTGTGAATCCTTTTTGCAGCTTTCATCTTGAACCATGAGCCACAGTTTCTTCCCATGGATCCAGCACGCACAGATGTGTAGACTTGGCCGGAAAAGTCGCTCCATTGTCTTTGTAAATCGCCCACATTGGCGTGGGCACCGCAGCTTGCTTTGGTCCATTCCGTCAATTATGACGCACAGTTGGGTGGCTGCTTGCATTCCGCGTGCCATCAGATTGCCCTGATCAAAAAACAATCGGGATAGCTTCCGGGCATTCCAATAAAACTGTCTGTCGAGCCATTGACTTAGCAAGTGCCGGGTATAGTTTCCGGTGGCTTCCTTTTTGGCGTCTTTTGTAGTCGCCTTGGCAATCTTTTGTCGAAGATGGTAGCACACATTGCACTGTGCAAAAGAACTTTTATCTCGGAAGTGGAGGTGTTTTGCGAACACTTGTTTCAGCAGTTTCATGAACGTTGTCAATGATGCAGGACGACGGTTCTCTGCGTCACATGTGGCAACGTACTGGTAGTACAGGTCAATTGGTTTGGCCCATTCGAGAAACCGTCTAGGCCCTTGAAAGGACCCAGGCCCCAGCTGCAACACATTACCACAGTCATAGTTTGCCTCTAGGTGCCGCATGAAGTTGCTGGCATATCGCTCTTCAAAATCTGGATCCCCATCTGTATGATGAGTGTCGTTCAAGTCAACTGGCATTTGTAGCTTGATGGGCAGGATCTCCGCGGCACTGGTGTAAATCAGCCAAAAGAAGAGCAATACCTCCGGCCACTTACAATTGTCTGACTTACGCTTCAAAGATACTTGGAGGGTTGGGTGTTTAGGTTCTTCCAAACGGTTCTCATGCATGGTATAGCCTGGAAGACCACCACGAAGCCTTTGCAAGACACCAGAACCAATTCCATACAAACGCTTGTGTGCCTGAATGCACACTGTCTTGTCGAGGAATGTCAGTGTCTTTGAGCTTCTTGCTGTGTAAGACCTTGTCCTAGCTTTCTTGGTTGGAGCGGCTGGTTCAGTCTCTGAATCAGTCTGCAGCAAAACATCACAATCTAAATGGTTCTCTTCTGACACTGTATCGCCATTCTCAAATTCGTCGTCTGTCTGCAGCAACAAATTGTTTGAAGCTTCAAACTCATCGTCTGTTCCGTACATGATCGAATCTTCACCATCAGCTTGAACTGCAGAAGAGCTACCCGAAGTGCCTGGCCAAAACTCCTCGCCAGAAATGCCTGCTATGTTGTACCATTCCCGTACCAATTGCTCCTGAGTGTGTCTTTTGTTCAGACAAGAATTCAACTTTATGTTGGCTATGGCTTCAGTACAGTAATAAAAAAACATTTGTTGAAAAGGCTAAATACTATCTCCCAAGGATCTTTGCGAGAATCATCCAACTGATGGAAAGATCGTCGACGTTCATTCACTTCCCGCTCAAAGCCCTGAAATTGCTCAAAGCAGCTGCCTCGGGTACACAGACACCTTCTGTGCACCAGATCTGACACCCTCAAGCCAGATGGCATTCCATAGCAAGCGCGGACGATAACACTGAGTGTATGGACTAGATGGCATAATAAAAGTCAACAACTTGGAGAACTTTATTTTGTTAAACATATGTTACATAAATAGGCTACATGGCCTGTCGCTTGAAATCAACGGAGCTATTTATAATTCAGATTCTGAGCAAACTCAGCAGCCCGGGAAGCATCTTGAAACATGAATGAAGCCCCCCCTTCCAAACTGCTCTCCAGCTTCCCCCCGTCGCTCCTTGCTGCTGGCTTCTTTGCCACTTTTCTGGCTGCTGGCCGCCGCAGAGCACTAGGGCGCTTCATCCCAGACGGTGTGCACACAAATCCCGAGCTTGAGTTGGAAACGTCTACTGATAGTCATACTTAACCAAAAGACCCTGATGATGAAAAGACTATCTTTTGCTTAAGCTCATTCTAATTAAACATCTGCAATTCATGGCAAGCTGTGCAACTGCTTTGCAGGCGCAGAGCCTGATGCACCAATTCCCAAGAGAGTTCCTGGATTGGTCTTTCGACGACTTGGAGAAACTGAAGGATCAGGTCGGCAAACAGGGAGACCGTGCAAGGCTGGCGCTGAAGTTGATTCTAAGCAGACGCTTTGACAAGCCCAGATGAGCCAAAAGAGCTTCAAGCCGTTAAGCCGGAGCAAAAAGGGCTCTCAGCACTCCACTGCGCGGACTGTGAAGTTGAGAAAGTAGGTGGATGGTAGATAGCTGTACTGCTTCAGTGCTTTGACAAAATGCAGATACCCTGGACTCCTGGACATGGTCAATGACAGGTGGTCGGCTACGCCACAGATCCCTCCGTCCCTGCGGTGGAGCAGTTGGAAGCTTGCTTGACCGGGTGCAACCTGGTCCTCATCCCAGCTGGTGTGGCTTGTCAAGAACACGAGTGACCAGGGACCGAAGACGAGCAGAAGACCATCCTAGTCTTCAGCATAAGCATGCGTAAACCATGTCAACTGACAATTGGAGGTCGTCCCTTGCATCCCCCAAACAAGGCAGATGTCGTTGGAATTTTGGGAAGTCGAACCCCCTTGGTGACCGAGCTGTATGCAGAAGGGTGCTTAATAAGCACTTCAACACAAGGTGAGGCTGCAGTTGAATGCAGGTGACGTTGCGATCAATTCCAACGCAAGAATGATTGTAGAGAGGCGAACACAGTCTCAAAAAGGAGAGCTTTCTGCTTGGACACCCCCGCATGATCGGTGGGAGTCGATTTGGAGTTCGACTCTCAAGGACTTAATTCGCTTCAAGGGAGTTGGTCACCGCTTAGCTGGCCCAGCACACCTGGGGAGTTGGTTCCCATGGCTGGCCTCGGCTGTCCTCTGAGATGCCTCGGAAGCCCGGCATGACGCGGGACGACCTCTTCAACGTGAACGCAGGCATCGCCAAAGGCGTTGTGGAAGCTTGCGCCAAGTTCTGCCCCGACGCAGTGCTTCGGCAAGGATCCAGAAGAGGCCTTTTTTTGTTGGACAACCCAAAGAAGGGTCTGGTGGACAAGACACTGCCCCAAATAGATGGACTTTAGGTGCACAGCCTAAATCTACTACCTCTCGGTTGGTCGGGGCCTATTGAAGACAAACAGGGCAATGAGGGGTGTCCTGCGTTTCCCTTGACATCTGCGAACAAGCCTCCACAGCCAAACAAGTCCCGCAGGTTTTGACCAAAAAGAGCATGTTTTGGTGCCTCTTCGCTTGGCGAAGGAGACTTTGGCCGTAGAATCTAATTAGCCTAGTAGCAAGGACGCTATTAGGTGGAGGCCATCGCTAGTAGGTTGGAGGCCATGGCTACTAGGAACAAGAAGCTCCTGGGAGCAAGAAGCTAGTAGCTCCTGGCCTTCCTACTAGTAACAAGAAGCTACTAGTTGTTTTCGCAGCTTTCTGAGGTGGTGGGCCTGATTGTGAACCCAGCTACCTGGCAGTAGGATTCGAGGGCTTGGGTCTCTGGGTGTGATCGTGACACATACGTGAAGAACAATGAAGAACACCACTCAACTACGTTGAACAACTCAACTATGTTGTTTGGTCTAAACAACTGGCTCTTAGTTCTCAGTCGAGCTTGAAAAACAGGTAAACCTGGTGTGGACTTGGTCTGCAGGTCCCATGGAGGAAGCAGCCAATGGGAAGACTTTGGTCGAGTGGGGTCCGAGTCGAACGAGGTCTCTCGTCTGATCCCCGGGGTTCCACGACTGGGCTCGGCCGCACGATTTGGGGTTTGGATTTGGGGTGGAAGGCCTCGTTTCGCCAAAACGATGAGGCTTTTCTTGGAGGCGAGTCTTGAGGTGTCGTGCTCTAGGTACCAGATCCATTTGAAGAATAGACCGTGCAAGGGTCAAGGGCCGAGGTGAATCGTTTGATATGATATCACCGCAGCATGTTGAGGAAGCACTTCCTTTTACCCACAATCATAAAGGAGGATTTGTTGTAAACACTCTTGCAGAATTGTCATTGAAATACCGATAGATAACTACCTAGGACCTAGCCAGTGTTGACACGTTCCTTTCTTCTGGAGACTGACCGACCTCTTATCAGTCCCATGAGATTGTGCAAGTGTCATAAGTCTTGACTCTTCTAAATGCTTCTCACCCAACAAGTCATGACTGCTCTTCCAGGTAAACTCAATTGTTCCAGCAATGGCAGAGCTCTACAAGAAAAAAGGCCTGCTCCTCAGTGTAGTTGCCAGACTTCGCAACAAGGTGCCTGGCTGCCACAAAGGTTCCGGTCGTCGCTGTTGACCGGCCACCTTTCAACTGGATCTCCGTTGATTTCGGCGCGTTCGGCGGAGGTTTGGATCCCTTGAAGATCGTGGGAGTGACCACCTTGGACATTGCCCGGATGCCTGGAGGTTCCTGCTGGCGAAGGGAGGCGAAGAGGTGCCAAGAAGGCATGGTTTTATTTATTTGAATTTAAGAGAAGGCAGGGCTGCAGATCTCCACACACAAATGGTCATTGAGACTGCAAGGCAGCTTTTCTTGGGTCCACCAGAAGTTGTGACGGAATATTTTCTCTCACCGCTTAGCTCTAACCACTTCACAGTTGAAAAGGCAGTTCCATGAGTTTCATTGCCGCGTGATTGGGTGCGCTTTGGAGAGGACGTCAGGACGGCACCGCACGTATTTCTCGGGTCGAGAGGTGTCGTCAAATCCACTCCGTTGGGCTCTCTCTCTCTCTCTCTCTGTGTCTGTCTCTCTGCCTCGCCAATCGTCTTGACTCCTTAACATGACTCGACCAGGTCCAACCCTGTTTTGGGATGACGGGTCTTGACATTCGCCAATTTGACTGATCTTGCCATTGGTGAGGCAGGTCGACCAAGACCACAGCTCTTCGAAATTTGCACGGCTTGGCTGTAAGATACCCCATGTTTTTGAATCCCCTCAAGAACGAGCCGCATCTATATCATAGGTGGCCCAGTGCGCCGAAGCTGCTTACCATCCTTTGCTGTTCCTGGCCGTGCCCCTGTGCCCCTCTTGGCCCAGAGGTGAGGGCCAACAAGTTCGTGGCGGAGATCACGGGGAAGTCTCCCAAGGATATCGAGGTCCCTGTGATTGGTGGCCACGCGGGGGTGACGATCATGCCGGTCTTCTCTCAGGAGACCCGGATGTGCACAAAGACGGGTGCACGGTGACCGTGAAACGAAGACAGAAAGGACCAAACGGAGAATCGTCCAACGAAGCTGAAGGAACTCTGGCACTTGTGATGTTTTCAAGGTGTCAATTCTTGACTCAAGCCCCAAAGCGGCGATTCACGCCAGGATCCTATCTCTGCAACGATCTCTGCCGACAAGTGCCACGGTGGACAGCAGCGGAGATCCTACCAAGATCTACCAACGGGGAGTTCTTCCTTTCAAAAGTTGGATATCCTACCAATTTGGATACCTTGTGGTAGGATATTTCTTCCAACAACTGGATTTCTTATTGATTCACCTTGTGACCTCACAGATTGCGTTTGTTCTTTTTGTTTGCCCTTGCGGCGGGTGCGCGGCTTGCGTTTGTTTCGGGTGTGCCACCCTTCCCAAGGATTCCAGCGTTGGACAAGCGCACGCAGGATGGTGGAACCGAGGCGCTCTGGAGAGAAAGGAGACGTTGGAAACCGGAATGCGATGCTCGCATACGCAAAAAGAGGCGTCCTTCAGAAGATATGCCTTTTTTGGTGGTTGAGGTTGGATTTGGGCAGCCGAGTTTTAAATGTATTCCATCCTGCCGGATTCGATGCTGGCCTTCCTCACCCTCATGTCGATGCTCAGCATGGCATGCGAAAATGTCGTCCTGTTGGAATTCTATTATTCTTTTAATGCACGTGTGTGTTCCTTTTTTCGTCCGTTTTCCACAGCAGTATCAAGCATTGTGCATACAGTCTCTCCTACGATTCATTCGCACCCTTCTCGATGCCGTTCTGCTATTCCACCGCATGTTCTGATGCCGTGCACCTCGTCTTCGTTTCACCACCAAGGGTCATTGGACAGCCAAAATGATCAGAGCCTTGCCCAAGTCCAGACAAAACTGCCAGGTGGTTGAAGCCAAAGCTGGGAAGGGCAGTGCCACCTTGTCCATGGCCTACTCTGGTGCGCGCTTTGGAAACAAGGCCGGCGACATTTTTTCCCGTCGTTCGTGGGCTGTGACTTCGTGTACGAGATACGATTGTGTTGCCCCAGCCGTAGTGGCCTCGCATCTAGCTCAATGGCCCTTCGCTTTGTGGCAAGATCCGTTTAGTGCTATTTCTTGGTCCTTGGTTTGCTCGAACTTCCTTGCTATTACTCTCACCTTCCTGTGTGTGATTCTGTAGGAAGACGACATGTATTTTGTGAAGTACCAAGATCCCAAATTCCTAAAGCAATCCCTACTTGATATGAAGAAGAAGCAGGGAGTCCCTACACATAGGTCCGAGGTCCAGTCAGCTCAGCCAGCTTGTTGGAGCATGGTCTAAACCCGCGGTGGAGGACCACTGCTGTTAAAGGAAGGACTTTGGCATCACCTCAGAAAAGGAACACCGTGAATGCTACACGATTCAGCGGCTAAACGTGTGACACGACCAATGTCCTCCGTCGATGTTGGACTCGTCCTCCTATCGTGCAGGTGTTGGCGGGGCTTGCAGGCACCCCAACGGACGAGTGCGCCTATGTGGCCTCGAGCGTGACAGAGCTGCCCTACTTCTCTTCCAAGGTCGGACGTGCTGTCTGTGCAACACTGCCAGCGAGGTGGTGAGGGAACACCCTGGTGAGCCTGCCAGGTGACCTTCGGCAAGACTGGGGTTGAGAAGATCCATGACATTGGCACTCTGAACAGTTATGAGCAGGGCAGACTGAAGGAGGCGCAGTGACGCAGTGTCTGGAGTTTCGGAGGTGTGGGGTCGTGTATGGGGAGTTTCAAGAAGTGCAACTACATGCTTTTAAACTGAGAGTAGAAACGCGCAGGTGATAAAGCAGCCGCCTTCCCTTTTCATCCTGTTTGCGTAAAGAAAGGACACCCTCAGCTGTTCACATTGCCGGGAAAACATTCTTTTGTCGGTGGATTGGCTACATGGGCACGTGGCATTGTCATACGGGTGCCTGCGTGGCTTAGGAGAGGGGTGCCTGCCTGCAAACAAGAAATGCGGGGCAACTAGCTTCACAAGTTTGTCTCACAAGAGTTTGCCAGCGACATGTGCAGGTCAGCAACACTTTTCAATAATACTCACAATCTCTTGTAGATAGACTCTGCCATGTGAGGTTGTTGGTGGTTGAACATGTGCTTCCCTTGAGATATCCGAGCGATGTGAAGTCATAGGCCATGGACCAGCTGAAGACGGAGATTGACAAGGGTTTGGACTATGCGAAGTCCAACTGCTGAGACGAACGTGCGATTCCGTGGGTACCGATGTTTCTCATTGCTTCAAGGCTTTGTGCCAGGTTTCGGACTCATTTTCAAGTCACTGGGAAATGCCGCGGCGACTTGCGCAACAGACGATGCGGAAAAGACGGAGCCGGCTCTGAAGTCTTCTCTGTGGCGCACACCGAAAAGTGTTCAGCCAGTTTACAGGACATGACTGGGTTTACAGGACATGACTGGTGCCAACCTTGCTTTTGGTAACTGCCAGTTTTGGTGCATGCCTCTTAGTCCAGGCCTCACGCGACCCCTATGGCAACCCTTTCCATGTTTTAGTATTCCTTCAAGTGCCTTTTTGGCCTCATCGTTCGGTTCGACTCGCAGGCGAGATCCAAAGGCGGAAAGGTGCGGGGATCCGACCATCACGAGAGGGTCGCATCGTCGCATCGTTCCATCTTTGGGGCAGTTCGAGCCAACGTGGCGTTTCACCGTAGAATCCATCCAGTTAACGGCAGCTTCAAGCGCAGCGCAACGTATCCCTGGTGCCAATGTCTAAAGAAATCAAACAAAGGAGGCCGAGTGCGAGGCCGAATTCGTCGGAGGATCCCAAAGTCATTGTGTTTGTCTTTGGCAAAGTCTCAGCAGTCGGTGGTATTGGGTGGCAACGAGTCAATTGCAGGTCTTTTGCTACTGCGCCAAGGGCATTTCTCGCAGCTCTAGCCTCGTGATCGCTTGGGTTGCCAAGAGTGACGGATAGCATGGGCTTAGCGGCTTGAAGAGGGATGAGAAAGTGGTTTCAGATTCCTTCCCAGGGTGCCCTCGAATAGGTACAAATACAACTAGACTCCATACTGCAGGATGGTGAGTGGCAAGCTCCAAGGGGCCAGGAATGGGACTGAAAAGCACCCAGTTCTGGTGACTCAAGTGAAGTATAGGGATGAACCATCCGACCAATTTGGCGCCTTCTTTCCTCGTCTTGAGTGTCAATCAAGGGCGGGTTCCATGTGATGGAGTCTATGGTCAGGCCGTTTACGCCATCGCTGGTCAGCCCCCGACTGAAAGCCACGGGCTCCATCGTGGCCTCGGCGTATTGACCTGAGCGCTCTCGGCCTCGATGCTGTGCCATGGCAGTCTCAAGAGGCAAGGAAGGGGAGGAAGGGCGGGATCCTCCCAGTCGGCAGGTTGTAGCGCAGGGTTCCGAAGATCTATGTGTTGCGGGTCTGGAAAGTGGAGGATCCTGAAACAGTGGATTCATTGAATCACGAGCACAGAGGTTGGACCCAGAAAATCACTCATGTCGCTGCACGTCCACCTCTTCTTCTGTCACAGAGATGTTCAACATGTCAGTCCACTGATCGCTTGTAGGAATGCATTGGAATGTGCATGAATCGCTGAATCGCCGTGACATTGGGCGTGTCCTTCGTCTCGCGCTGCTCGGTGGCACGGGAAAGGGTGCACGGGAAAGTGGTTGCCGAAGCAGCAATCCGAGCCATCCGGTGGGATGATGAGGTCTGTGTACTTTGGAAGGAGCAAATGCAGGAAGGGTCACAAAAGAGTGAAGTTGATTAAGTCAGGAACGGAGACTCAGAAGGGACATAGTTGCTTAAATGGATTTCCCCAAGTCCTTCAGACCATCCGATGGACTCAGGCGCTGCTGCCTGGTGACCTTGATCGCCTGGCAGCTGAACTTTCTTTTTCGAGGCGAGGCCGGGCGACGCGTCACCAACGATCAGTCGACACGTCACGGCCTCGAGGCGGAAGACATACGAAGACGAGAGCAGATATGACCAGCCATGGTATTGGCAGAAACGCTGATATGTGGTTCTTACTTATATGGTATTGGCCCACTTTTGTGTTTGGTCGCTTTTGAGATTTTTACTCCACGACCCGTGTGACATGCTTTTCATGTCTGAGCGTGGTGTTGATACATGGCCCTTCCGCTAGGCCATGTGGGACAGGTGTTCGGACGATGCAAGCCACGTACGACGATGCTCTGCTACAAGGATGGATAGGGTTGCGCCAGGACAGCGGATCACGCACAACCGTAGAAGATTGACTATTTCCAGGACTTTTCCTAGGGTGTACTTTTTCCTCTTCCAAGACTACTTTCTAAGTCGCTTGACGGTGACTCGCGTTCGTTCACGGTGATAGACCACCGAAGGCATCTTTTGTCCGAGAAAAGTCCGAAGGTGTTTTGGACTTGTGTCGTTGAGGGTTATGAGCCCAAGCATCGACTGCCACGCGTAGGGTTGGAGCCATGGATCGAGCCAGGTCCCTTCCGCCTTCGAGTGAGGCGATGGTCAATCCCTGGTGGTCTGACAAGTGTAAGCTGGAGGCGATGCTACAACACCGCCGACCGGAGGATTTGCCGGTACCAGCCGACGAGGACCTTGAGGTCGAAGCCGACGCTGTGCAGGATAGCACAATGGGCTCGGGTGGCTCTGGAAAGGGACGAGGGACATCGTCTCTCCATGGTCTGGTTGGTGGTCGCTTGTTTGTGACACCCCCAAGTCATCGCGGCAGCACCGAAGGTCGTGGTTTGGGCAAGCAAACTGAGGGGGCAATGCCTCCGAGTGGTGATGGTTCGGCTCCATCGAAGGCTGAGACCATGGGACCTGTGCCACCGAAGCACAGGCCTTCTCGATGCTCCGAGGAATCCGATGGGCGGGGGCTACAACGGGCCTTGGAGGCTGAGATGGTGACCTTTTTGAGGGATCAGAATGAAGCCCTCACCAAGGAACTGGAAAAGATGAAAAAGCAGCTAGCTGGTTCTAGTGGGGCTCCTTCTACAACCCCGTCATCGTGGGAGGTCATGGATGGTGTGGGGGGAGGTCAGCCTCAAGAGAAAGGGGTTCCTGAGCGACATCCGCCTCGAACGCCCCGTGGTCGAAGTCCTGCAGCTCGCAAGTCGTCGCATGGTGTGACAAGGTTCACACCGAATGGAACCCAAGTGCCTCCGGATTCTCCGCCGCAGAGCAAGTCCTTTGCACTGGATCTCCTGGTGCCTCCGTTTCCACCTCCGAGTGCCTTGGCTGAACAGTGTGACCTGGCAGGGTATGAGTCGGTGGAGTTGCATCGACGCCGCAGCGATGACCAGTGGCTGCCCAAGCATCTTCGGGAGGGAAAGGCTTTTGTTCCTCGAGGAAGGTCTGCAGCTGGAATTGCGCCTCGGCTTGAAAGATCGAGTGATGATCTTCCTGCAACTTGGCCTGAGCCAGGGTTCACTGGTGTTCATGCATCTCGGCCGAATTTAGTGGCAGCAGATGATGCTCGTGCCGCTCGGCTGGAAAGCGAAGTGCAAGTGCTCCGTGCTTCCTTGGAGCGCCTGCAGCGGGAATCCAAAAGTGGCAACATGGCTTCAAGTTCTCATGATGCGCATGCTGCACCTCCTACGGGTTTTGTGGGGCTCCATGGACCTGACCTACAGGAGTTTGAGCATAGCAGTGGTGGGGGATGTCATACAGTTCAAGGGTCTGCTTGTGTACCTCCTCCTAAACCTGCTGGTGTATGTCAACCCTGGGTTTCGTTGCATGATGATCGCCCTCAAAGTCCTGAACTTCTGGGAAGTGGTGGGTATGGTCGTTGGCGCGGTGATGATGCCTCGACGCCTATGCCCTTGCCCTGGAATGAAGGTGTAAGCAATGGCAAAGCAGAGCTCCCAGAGTTATCTTCGGAAGCCTCACCGCTGGAACTCGGCGATTGGTTGCAGGTCTGCGGACCGGTCCTGAGAGACATTTCTCAGGTGAGCGCTCGATGGTGGAACCTGACACTTCGTGAAGCGCACTGTTACTATGATCGGTGGAAAACAGCATCACTGTTGGAGCGTGTGCAGATCGACCCCAAGCTCCCTGACGAGTTGCTGGATGGCCGCTATCAGCGGACAGAACAAAGGGGGGGTGAACCTCTTGCTTCGATCCATCCCCTCGGATCAACAACAGGCCCTGATCACGGCCAGAGAGCTGACATCCACGGCTCTCCTGTTTCGTTTGCTGGTGCGCTATCAGCCAGGTGGCTCGGCTGAAAAGGCCAGCTTGCTTTCCAAGCTCACGGTGCTGGACAAGAACAATGGGGTTGTGGAGCTTTCAGCCGCCCTTCGTTCATGGCGCCGACACTTCCGACGAGCTCAAGAAATTGATGCAGTCCTGCCTGATGGCACTCTTCTGCTGAAAGCTTTGGAGCATGCTTGCTCTCAGGTAGCCGCCCTGGACACTCAAGCATCATTCAGGCTGGCTCAAAGTCGATTGCAATTGGGAGTTGATCAACATCCTCACCATCAAGCTGTATGGCGGTTTAGCCAATGTTTGCTGGCGGAGGCTGAAACCCTGGCTCTGATGAACGCCACTCCGTCGGTTTCGACCACTCCAGTGAAGGTCAAGCAGCTTGAAGGGCCGAACAAATCTCCGGCTACTGGTGGGCCAACTCCGTCCGAAAAAGGCAAAGGCACCTCGCAGGCATCTACACCTTGTCGGTACTTCAGATCCGATACTGGATGCAAGGCTGGCCGAAGCTGCAAATGGTCCCACTCCTGGGATGGCGTGGAGGACAAGGCGATCAGGCGCTGGATTTGTGGTGGAAAAGATCATCGCAAAACGGATTGCAAACTCAAAGCACATGGCAAACAAGGGCTCTCGAAGGAGGGCAAACCTATGGGTGAGCCTGCTGGCTCAGGGGGAGGAAAGTCGTCTTCAAAAGCGTTTCCTTCGACTACAGCATCCACAACTGGTGGCAACAGCGGTGCAACCAAGCCGAAGCTCCAAGAAATGGAAGGCCCCGTTGAGGGTCAAGGAAGCCCTGTTCCAGAAGCTGCAACAACAGGCGATGGAGGAAAGGGTGGTGAAACAGGGGCTACATCGACAACAAGTGAGGCTTTGCTCCAAGAGGCCACCAAGTTGCTCAAGTCTTTGCGGGCTCCACAGTTGAGAGTCATTCAATTGAGCCAACTGGAATCAGATCCCAATGGGATGATGGTGTTGTTGGATTCGGGCGCAACTCATGCCCTTCGGCCGGCGTCAAGCCAGATGGAGTGGGAAGCTGCCAACCCCACACAAGTCACCTTAGCTGATGGAGTCACAACAAAGCTCAGGTTGAAAGCCGACTCCAAGATTTTGCTGTCCAATCCCATGGATGAAGTCCTGAGCCAATCATGGATTGTTCCGTTGGGCGGCATTGCGGAGCTGGGCTACAAGTTCGCATGGAAAGGGGCACAGTGCGCCTTGCAAGACGAACATGTCCGAGAGCTGATCGTCTATGTTCAACATGGTTGCCCTATGGTGTCTCGCCAAGTTGGAAAAGAAATGATTGACTGTCTTGAACGCCAGCAGGTGCGACTGGTCAAGAAAGCCCTCTTGCTGAAGTCGATGATGATGGACCCTTCGTTGGCATCGTTGGAGGCGGTGAAGCATTCCACTGAGATGGCCTTGACCTTGAAGTTGAAAAATCTGTTCCCGGAGCTCCCGGACGACATCCTGATGAAGGTCATCCCCGATCTCTCAACAGATCAGGAACTAGATGGCCATACGCTTCCGTGGAACCGGCACAAACGCCGAAGACTTCAGCAGGCCAAGAAGATCGTGCTGCATTGTTTCTCAGGGCCCGACCATCGGTTCTGGGAGAAGAAGCTGTCTGGTGGTGGGGTGGAAGTCCTTTGCATTGACCTATGCGGCCCTGTTCCTGCAGATTTACATGATGCCCACGTGTTTGGCTTTGTGCTCTCCCTCGCAGCATCTGGCAGGGTCAAAGCATTGCTGGGTGGCCCACCGTGCAGGACAGTTTCCGCCTTGAGATATCAAGATGATGGCGGTCCTGGGACTGAAGAATACCCCTATGGTGTCCCGGGCCTCACAGCTGCTGAACAAAGCTTGGTCACTGGTGACAGTATCTTGTGGTTCAGGATGCTGGCGATCTACATGTTGTGTGAAGATGTTCGGTTGCCGCAGGAACCACCGACAGCGCTGGCCATTGAACAACCTGAAGATCCAGCTCGGTACAGGTCGGCTGAGGAGGTCAAGAGCAAAGGGTTCATGGCAGTTTGGCGAACCAAAGAATGGCAAACATTCGCAACAAGGTACAAAGTTCGCCTGCTGCATTTCGATCAGGGTCCAATGGGCCATGTGAAAAGAAAGCCTACATCTCTGGCAGTGGTGATGAACGAGCTTCATGTGCTGGATGGCGTGCGCGGTCCTCCAAGTGGGGATCCAGATGAACAGCATGGCCGTGATCGTCGAGAGATGACTCTTCAAGAACGATGTGATGATTCCAAAGGCTGGGCGGCCTGGGCTCCTGGATTGAAAACAGCTTTGGTGTTGGCAGTGCAGGGTCAGTTGCGCAAAGGTTCAACTCCGTCTTTGGAGCAGGCGCTCCGACCTCTTGGCCCAGTGGCGTTGGAAAGTTGGCGCCAGCACTATCTCAACGATCACATGCCTGCTCGACGAGATTGCCGTGATTGCGTTCGCACTTCGGCCAGGAGCAAACCCCATAGAAAAATCACACATCCTGAAGCTTACACCTTGAGTGTCGACCTGTCCGGAAAAATGGTGACAGGTCAAGATCAAAATCGCCATGATTGTCGCTATATGTTGGTGGCTGTCTACACATTTCCCGTCGACCGCTCTGGCGAAGCTCTGGTCGAGTTTGCGGGGGAGTCGAAATCAGAAGAGCCACCATCTGTTGACCTGGAAGAATACACCCCCACTGAGCCGGATGGTGATGATCCCGGCGAGGATTTGTTGGTGGCTGATGAAGAAGCAGCTGATGAGGGTCCGGGGGAGGGAGGACATGCTGCTGACGAAGCGGCCTCCGTCAAGAAGGGCCGAGCTGCGCTTGAAACATGGCAGCAACGGGTGGAAGAATCCCAGGATGTGGCGGTTAGAAATGTCACGTTTGTGGAGGTGGTGGCTGGGCGGGCAGTTCATCATGTACTTCCTGCACTTGCTCGCATCTATGCAAGGCTTCGCTGTCTTGGTCTGCCCCTGTACCGGCTCCACAGCGACAGGGCCCGTGAGTTGATCTCAGCTCCAGTCAGAAGGTGGACGCTGGACCGAGGCATTTTGACCACTCTCACCACCGGCGACTCTTTCAAAGCCAACGGCCGGGTAGAAGGTGAACTGGGCGTGATCAAAAAGCACGTCCGAACCATCATCAGCACAACAGGTTTGGGGCTGGAGCACTGGCCTTTGGCAGCCATCCACATCGGAGAACGCAGGCTCAGAGGACAACTTCGCAGCCTTGGTCTTCCCGTGGGTCCCATGCTACAGTTCGGATCCAAGGCATACGCCTTAAAGAAGTCCTGGCAAGACCGCTACCAACCATGGCGGGAGATTCGCGATGAGGTGATAGTCCTTGGTCCAGCTATGCAGAGTTCAATCACCAGCACAAGCTATTATGTGCAGTCGGTTGAAACCAAGAGGTTTTTCTTCACAGACGATGTGGTGGTTCCCATGGCAAATCAACCTGAGGCTGGCGAGATCTGCGCCTATCTTCCGGAGCTTGATCATCCGCTTGATGCTCCAAAATGGGACGGCAATGTTCCTCGGCAACGCCTTCATGAAAAGACGGCCATACCACAAATATCCATGATTTACATGGAGGGGGAGATGAGTGCTCGTGTTCAAAACTGGCTATGTGACCATCGTGCTCTGTTTGATGTACATGCACCCAATGATCCAGAGTTGAACAACCTTGAGATCAGCTCTGACAGTTGGACGATTGAGACTCCTGAAAGGACGCCAAGTGACGGCTCTTCCCAGGGGACTCATGAAGAAGCTCATGAAGAGTTGGTGCAGGAGGAGGACCGGTATGGAGGAGGGGAGTGGGAGGAGGCGCCCAACAACCAGGATGGTGGCTCACGCCTGGTGGCCTCGATTCAAGGCAACGTCCCTGGGAGAGTTCCGATCACACGGGTCCAATTCATTCGGTCCATGCAAGCCAACCTGGCTGATTATGTGAGTGAGGAGTTGGGTCATGTCGACATCTCCAATCCTGACCAAGGGTGCTGTATGGATGCGTTGGCAAGAGCCGTGGTGCAAAAGATTGAGGCGGAGGACATCTTGCTGCAACATCATCATGATGGTGAAGTCCTCCACCAAAAGGAGCTGGAGGAGGAATTCCTGGTCACAAAGACCGTTAGCTCTCGTGAAGTTATGGAGGATTTTGAGAACTGGATCCCATCGATCACTGCTGAGTATGACCAGCTGGTCCGCACGAAGGAGGCTGTTGAGCAGGTTGAGAAGCGGGCTCTTCAAGAGCGGGCTGAACGAGAAGGGAAAGTCATTGAACTCCTTCCTGCAAAAATGGTGTACACCCGAAAGTCGGGCGCAGGCGCTCGACGCGCACGAGCTGTGGTGTGCGGAAACTACTCCGAGTCCCGTTTCAACGACGACTGTTATGCTGGAGGTGCTGATGGTTGTCAAGTGAGGGCAATGGTCCGCACCGCTGCCTTGAAGAACTGGGCCATAGCAGCAACAGACATTCGAGTTGCCTTCTTGAACGCCCCCCGTCGTGAAGATGGCAAGCTGGTCGCGATGGAGATTCCTGCAGTCTACAAAAGACTGGGCCTGGCTAAAGAAGGGGAAGTATGGTTGGTCAAGCTGGCCATGTACGGCCTTACAACATCGCCTCGTGACTGGTCCAAACACAGGGACGCCACTTTGCCACAGGTGAGCTGGGTGAGAATGAGAGGCAAGAGAAAGGTGCGAGGACACTTCTGCAAAACAGAGGATGAAAATCTCTGGCGCCTGGAGGAGGAAGACTTGAAGTCGGGGGAGCGCCATTGGACAGGATTGATGTCTGTGTATGTCGACGACATCCTGCTAGGTGGAGAAGAGGAGACTTTGAAGGCTGGGCTGATGTCTCTGCAGGCTACATGGGCCACATCAAGTGTGGAGTGTGCATCGGTTCATGATGCTGTCCACTTCTGTGGTTTTGAGATCACCTTGGATGAAAACGGCAATGGCCTGCACCTCTCCCAGCAGAAGTACGAGCAGGAAATCGTAGCTCGATGGAAGGTCAAAGATCCTGTGCCGTTTCCGCGCTTCAAGGTCTCCGAAGAAGACTACGAACCTTCATCCAGTGCTGACCGCAATCAGGTTCGAGAAGCGCAAGCATTGGCCGGCTCCTTGTTGTGGCTGTCAACGAGATCGTGGCCTGATCTTGCTTGTGGTGTCGCAGCCATTAGCCGTTTGATGACAAAGAATCCAGCCAAGGCCATTGAAATTGGTCATGTCCTCCTGGCTTATGTCAAAGGCAACCCTGGCGATCTTCACTATGCCAGGGAGATCCAACGAAAGTGGGGCGCCCGAGACCAATTGAAGATCCAGCGCCACGAAAAGCTCCTCGAAGTTTTTGCTGATATAGCATATGGAGCAAGTTCAAGTTTTCGCAGCATCCAAGGGCTGGTGATTTGCTTTGCGGGAGCTCCAATCTCGTGGCAGAGCTCAACACAACCCTTCATCACGCACAGCACCGCTGAAGCTGAGCTAGTCTCCTATTGCGAAGGGCTCACAGCTGGAAGAGCTACAGAAGCTTTGTTGTGTTCCATGTGGGGGGAGCGTCTGGAAGCCAACAATCCTTTCGAGAGGGTCATATATGGTGATAATGCAGCAGCTATTGGATTGGCCCATGGCAATAGTGCCTCCTCATGGCGAACCAGGCATTTGCGGGTTCGAGCTCATCTTCTCCGTGAAGCGTTGTCGGAGTCGGACTCGTATCCTGGAGGTCGATGGCAGCTATGTCATCTGAAGGGCACTGAATTGGTGGCCGATGGGATGACCAAGCCCCTTGCTGGCGCGAGTTTTTTCGGATTCCTTTCCGACCTTGGTGTAAGGCATGAAGAAGCTGCGGCCAGTGTGAGAAGGGTGACTATGGGTGATCGACATCTTCAAGTACATGATCGCTCCGCGGCTCTCCAAGCTTTGATAGTGGGAGGGGCGATGGTCCAAGCCGCTCAATCGGCTGAAGCTCAAGGGGCCCTTGACCCTGACTCGTCCTTCGACACCTTGTGGACGTGCGGCCTAGTGTTGATTGTCATTGGGGCAATCTGGGTGGGGAAGACAACAATCTCTTCCATGGGGTGTTGTCTCAAAAGATTGCATAAGGTCATCAGCGAGCCGTGCCATCCGCAGGATCGTGATGAAGGAGATGATAGTGATGGTCCTGAAATGCAGTGGTCCAGGAGGAGGAGTACAGAAGATGACACAACGCCCACGGAGGCGACCAGTCAAATGGAATGCACACCACGAAGTCCTGAAGGTGGTGTACAACGGCGGCTACGACAGAGTGGCCATGAAAGGGAAGAAAACACTTCAACGCGGACAAGTTCTATGTCGCGGCCTATGAAGCGACCATCGGGCTCGCAGGTGCATCAAAGCGCTTCATCAAAAGCCCCATTGCCGCGGTCAACTTCCGAGGTGACCCGAGCGGTCAGTGAAGCTGCCGAAAGTGCAGCGCACGCTGCGGGCAGAGCGGCTGATGCCGCCATACAGGCAGCAGAAAGCGCTGAGAGGGCTTCGCGGGTGATCCACCGGGCAGTGGAAGCATCCAAGGAGAAGACATCATCTTCAAGGGTGGCTTCGTCAAGTGGTTCACCCGGTACACCGCCGATGAACCCATGGAATCGCTTTCAGAAAGAGCATTCCAAAAGGGGATGGGGAACAGAGAAGATGAGAGCGGAGTACTACAAAGCCAAAGCGGAAGGCCGCCAATAGAGTGATGCCTTGAGCTAGGCCAGGCTTTTGGCTTTCTCCTGAAATCACCAAAGAATTTGGTGAGGGGGAGTCGCTTGACGGTGACTCGCGTTCGTTCACGGTGATAGACCACCGAAGGCATCTTTTGTCCGAGAAAAGTCCGAAGGTGTTTTGGACTTGTGTCGTTGAGCTAAGGTTTCTACCTCGGCCTGAAGTTGTTGTGTGCAACTGATGTACGAATAGCCAAGGTTGGATTGGCCAGATCCTTCTTGGAGATTGCTCGGCCTTTGTTGTAGAATCTAGCAGTGGTAACACCAAGACTTTGCCCTACCAAGGTCCTGTGCCTGCGTGGCGGGGTGTCTCTATTTTTTGGTGTGAGGGGGTTCTTTTCTCCATTTCCCCACAAAGAAGAGGAAGGAGGGCTCAAACGCCTGAACCCCCTTGCCAGCACGGCTTGTACGTTGCTCCAGCCGGCTTTTGGGCTTCTTGGTGCTCAACTTGAGAAGATCGCCAGAATCCCTGGATTCGTGGGAATCAGTGGGGATTGCAGAATTCAAATTTGGTACATGTGTGAGCCCGAATATGGGGTCTTCTCATTCTTGGATTCAGGGACACGGGCGTCTCTCTTCAGGAGCTTCCTCTGCTGGATGAAGAGAGCAACTCGCTCTTCCTGCTACTGCGAGGAATGACCACTGTCACTGGGCAGATGGTAGACAAAACTCTCAAAAGCCACTCAGACAACTGGTTTACCAGTCCCAGTAGTCCCAGTCGAGTGCCTTACACCCGAGACGAGACCCACATAGAACCTGAAAATAAAACTGCAAGGAAGACTAGGTGACTAGCACTGACTAGCTGACCCGGCTGACCTTAACCATTGCTTATGACTACCTATTCCTTGTGGGTCTCTTCCACCAGGACGTAAGCCTTGGGTTTCTCAATGAGAGAACATCAAGGCATCTCCCTCTTTCACCTCGGTCCTGTCCCTCGGTCCGGACGTACAGAGAGGTGAGTTTCTGCCGGCCAAGCCCACCGCCGCTGCGGTGGCTCCAGCGGCGTTTGACCGCCGTGGTGGAGAAAAACCCTTGGCTTGGAGGGAAACTGCGTCGAGTGGAGGAGACATGGGAAGGAGGTATGCTTTTTGGGTGGAGGGACTGTTGGAGCATCTGGGATGTTGGGAATACCCAAAGGATTCGAAAGGACCCATAGGTCATCATAGGTCCATAGGTTGGATTTTCTTTAGCAAATGAAATGATTTGTTGAACCACATCCCCTTCCGCTTGCAATGCAGCACCTATCTTCAATGGCCAATGGTCTACCTCAACTGGCTCAACTGCCAGTGCTTCGCATGATGAGGTGCGACTCGGTTCCGACTGGTCCGACATACTCAGCGTTTGGCCAATCAGACTTGGTGCATTTTCATCTCCTCGGTGCACTCGAAATCCTCAGATCGCCCGGGTTTCCTGGCCACCGCCGGTGCCAGTGGGTGGCCACGTCGGTTTTCCGACGACTTGCTGCGGCCATGGGCCATCTGCGGTTTTTATCACGTTTGGAGCCAGAAAGATGTTGTGGGCCAACAGCCATGGCCTTGTTCCAAGGAAGTGACCACGGCCTTGTTCGCAAGGATTGAGGTGGAAGATTTAGTCACAGCTTCCACTGTGGCACAGGGACCTTGGCGGACTACACATCGCTTTGAGCAGTCAGCGGTGTCGTGCCCTAGCGCACCCGCATCCCTTGCTACAGGTCACGCCGCACATGGTGAGCGAGCGTAGAACGCCACAGGCCTGCAACGCAACGGGGGTGATCCGGAATGCACAGACCTATGATGTCAGCTGTGGGCTGTCCACGGCGTGCCGGTCTCGCTTTTCCCACAGCCCCCGTCTTTTTGGCCATCTCTCTAGGAGTCGGTGAGGCTGTGCTTTTCGGAGGAGGTCCTTGATGAGCGAAACCTGGCGTTGTCAGTGGAGGTCGTGGAGCGTCTCAGCGGAAACGACGGGAGACGTCGACCGGGAGAGCGGGATAGGTTTCAGAGACTGGACAAGCTGGAGACTGGACCGGCATGGTCATGGAGTTTTGGTGAAGTATGACTCATGACATTTTGCGATGCATTCTTTAGCCCTGAAGAGATGTTGAACACTCAGTTATATATTTTGTGGTGTCATCCAACTGATGATCACCCCTTCTCTCAGCCCGACTCGACGTCTCTGCGACTCGACGTTTCCAGCAACTCAGGCCCATGAACATCACTTCCAGCACTCCCTACGAGGTCATCAGCCAGCGGATCAGTGGATCTCCAGCTGAAGTGAGGCCCTATGCTCAAAAGCTATGACCATAGCGAGGTCATGTCGATCAATTTTCCCAGCTTTGAGTGTTCAGTCTTGCAGTGGCATAGAACAGGCACTTTTCGTGATAATGTTTATATAGTTAATTCCACATCGCATGTGTATGACATCAGAGTCTGATCAAGTCAATACTCCAATATCCTATTCTGCTCCGGGTTTCCAGGTCAGGGCTGGTGTGCCTGGAGAACTCCAGCGAGCCCTTGCTCCGTGTCTCTTTGTCTGGCCTGGGACCTTGGTAGCCGAATGGGAGGGAAGATAGGAATAGTTGAAGAATGTTGGGTTCGAGTTGAGCTGCGGACTTTTTGGATCACGGACGATCGCATCGGAGACGCGGAACAGCTGAACACTTGACGTACAACAACAAATGCTTGTGGCTGTGGGCTCAAGCATTTGTGCAAAAGCGAATCAGTCATTTCTAGATATTCCTAGACTCCAACTCCTCCAAGCAGACCATGGGTCAAAGCGCGGATGTTGCAGTTCTTGTCATCGATGGCAGCGAGGCTTCGTTGGCCACAGTCAAGTGCCAAGGCCAAACCTTGAGTTCAATTTCCAAGATTGCTCACCTTGAATCTCACACCACCTCGCGAACACGACGAGGTGGGCAGTCCGCCGCTCGGTTTGGGAGGTCCCGACAATTGGAAGAACTCGAGTTCCTCCGCAAGGTGGCTGCACGGGCAGTGCAGGAGTTTGGTGGGCCACGAAAGATTGACGCTCTGGTGCTCGCAGGGTCGGCGAACATGAAATTCAAACTCGTGGCGGAGTTACCTCCTCCCTTGCGACGCAACATCGCTGGCGTTTTGACCCTGAACTGCAATGCTGGCTGGAATGGACTTGAAAAAGTGGTGGCACAAATTCCTGGGGTCATGAAGAAGCAGGCCGAGATGTCAGCCAACAGCCTAGCAGGTGAATTCTTGAGATGCGTCCAGGACAGAAAGGATGCTGAACTGCTTTGCTATGGCGAGGCTGAAACAGCTAAAGCATTCGAGCTGGGTGCGGTCAAACTGCTAGTGGTCAGTGACATGCATACCAACTTGCAGCGGTGGTTGACTATGGCCTCTTCCCATGGGGTAGACGCCAGATCCATAGCGGCCTCCACACCATCTACCTCCCAATTTTGCGAAGGTTACCAAATTGGAGCGTTTTTGAGGTGGCCAGCGCAGCTGTCACCGGAAGAGGATTGCACGCAGTTTGACTCTGATTGTGAGGTCCACTCCGATTCTGAAGCTAGTACAGCAGCTCCCAGCATGTCTGAAGCCCTTCCTTGGCTTCAGCATGCTTTGCTTCTAGCTGGCCATGACGAGGCTTCGGCCGAAGCACTTGCAATTGGAGTGGACCTGGTTCTTTCGCACGACATGGGAACTCCGGAAGAGCGCTTCAATGATGCCTTGGAGCTCTTGCAGGGGGCAGATGTTCCGTCACATGTCTTGGAAGAGTTTTGCCTCCTCGTCGGCGACGTCTCCGATTTCTCGGACTGAAGGTCCAAGCGTCTTCCGAACGGACACGGTGGGTGGTGATCGAGGACCCGCTCCAGAACGGTCAGCGCCATCGGTGGCGGCCTCGCCCTCAAAATAAATGACCTCGTTTAGGCAGTGTATTTCGCTCAGCGAAGCTAAGGAATGCTGGTGCAGAGAAGAAGTTCTGCATTTGGAAGCTGTCGACACTTTGTGAGATGGTCCAGAGAGGTCTAGAGTCTAGAGACGTCCAAGGCCTTGGGTAGGTCCTGGGTCGATTTTCGGAGTCAAGTCCTCTGTATCTTCTGTCCTTTGCACTTTTGGCAGTGGATTGAACTGCAGAGCAGGGGCTCCTGAGTGCCAAGTCAAAGACATTTGGATTTATATGGCCACCGTCAATTTTTGTATGTACAGTGTACAGAAGCGGTGGCCAGCAGAGACTACTGACTTGTACAGGATCGTTGTCGATGTCTTCTGACAAGAAAGCAGTTCCAAGTATCCCTTGTAGCCTTGTCGCGGGTGAAGGCGATCCTTCAATTGTCCAATTGTCCTTGTTTGCTTTAATATAGATTTTCAGATGTCATTGGTGGGATGTTAAATGAAGGGATCAATCATCCCCCCTTTGTATTTGGAGAGCCGTTTGGAGAGCCAGTTGCAGGTGCCCAAGATCCAAGACAGAAACCGACGGACACCACGGACTGAAGGACTTAGGAGGATTTTCCATTTGCGCTTGCAACCTCTTGCAATGCTACATTTATCTAGACATTTTCTAGAAACAAGACTCAAAGACTCAAAGCCGCAGAATTTGGGGCTTGACTCTGTATGGTCCGCACGCCAAACACTCCAAAACGGGCAACTCTCAGTGGTGAGAAACGCTTGTTTGAGAAACTGCCCGGCACTGTAGGCTGTAGGGGACCTCCCGGCAGGGTTTTCTTGCATGTTCGGTTATCATGAAGCTGCCGATGCTGAGATGGCAAGCTGAACGAGTTCGCACTCGTGGTCTCGATCTCGCACATCATCGCAGATGGGTGGCTCGCTGAGGTCGAGGTCGGCACTCGCACCATCGTGAGAGGGTCATGTGGGCGTTCGTTGGCCATCCTTATAGGGGGTGCTCCGTGGGCCACGTGTTGACCTGTTTCTTTCAGATGGCTGATCTCTCACCACCCGGTGAGAGATCTGGGGACCCGTGGACCGAGGCCCCAAGGTATCCGCAGGTGCATGACATGGGGCTGACCTCAGTCATCTGACAGAGAATGGGGCTGACCTCTGAGCATTGGAGTCTTTTCGCAGAAATTCAGCCGAGGCACACGTACTACAAACTCTTCAGTATGCTGACCCAGGATGACCGCGTTGCCATGCTCCGTGGGCTGCGGCTAGCATGGGCTTGCAATTGCAATCCTCTTTGGGTCAAAAAAGAGTTTCCGAGCTTGGACATTGCCGTGCGGGTAGAGCCCACCGTGCGGGTTCATCCTAAATAACGCATCGCTTTTGGAGTGTGAGTTTCTGTTGTGGCTTCAGTGCAGATGAGTGGACTCTCTATAGTGGCTTTTTCACCTGAGGACCTAGACTGGACCAGTCACCAAAAGCACCCCACATGGATCTGATCGAAAGCAGGACATCCCAGTGGTCTCCTTGAATCCTTCACGGAAGCTTCACTTCCACCGACAACGCCTGGCTGCTGTCGGTGAGTTGGGATCCTCAGGCATAGAGTTGGGAACTGAGTGGGGGTTGTGATGGGTTGTGGGTCTTGAAGGGTTTCGCTTCCAGATGAGAAGTGGGTGAGAAACAAAGGGGATGTTTCTTCAAGTTCCTGATGGGTTGGGGGAGATTCAGCCAACTTCAGCAGCAGAGAGGCTCTGCTGGGTAGCTTTCCTTCTGAATCAGAAAGTGCTCTGCAGACGCACTCAGGAGCGAATACGACTTCATCTACTCGCCTGGGTATGTTTTGAACTGCCTGGGCAGCAAGGTTCTCTATGGCCGGCCCAGGTGTTGGGGCCTCACATTACACATTCAATGATTACTTTTTTATCCAGTTCTGCAAATCTCACGCACTGCCAAGAAACATTCCAGATGAGCACCTCTAGTTTCCCTTGCTTTTGCATGACCTCAATCAGTGTGAGGCCGAGCGTATTTGGTGGATGCTCAAAAGATGAACGATGTCAAGGACAGCCGCTGGGGGGGGGAGCAGGATTCAGATGATTGAGTCTGATATCTGGAAGTTGGTGATCTTCTGAAGGAATGGGATCAACGAAAACAACTAAATGCGTATTATTCCTCTTTCTACTACGTCGGTAAAGCTGGATTTCTATTTTCATGTCCTTTCTAATTCTGTTGCCCATCTTGAACCTCGAACTCTATGAGGAGAGCGGTCCATTTCTCCCCACCTCTCACCGCGAGACGAGGTCCGGGAAGCGGAGACACACCACGATCTGTCCTTTGTCTCAACGCATCTTGGACGGAGCGCAAACCTGGCGCCGGTCGCTCCATCCAGGGCGAGTGTTTTCCGTGTCCGATCGAACACGGCATGAGGTCAGACATCACCGACTTCCTTACTGGTGACTCCTGACCTTTCTTTCCTCAAAATCCCTGTTGGGTATGGTTTGAGTCTGAGGTTCTCAAATTTGGCCCATCAAGTCTGGGTCAAGTCCAGTGCCACAGAGTGCCACAGAGGGGACCGTGGGCTCTTGACTGACAGAATGCACATTTTGGGGTGCCTTTCAGCCTTGTTGGGTTGCTCACCCCCAGGCATGCCACAGTTAACACATCTGGTAGTTCTTCCAATTCGTGAGATGTACGTCCAAGCGATTGTACCTGATGTTCTTGGAGGTTGGGGCCATCCGAAGAACAGGAACTTCCTTTCAAACATGGTCGAGCGCAGGGCCCAACACTGATTCCGGCGTGTCACTGGCGCAAAGGAACGATGTGCTAACCTCCGTCTTCGCACGCCTCATTGCTGCACGAGTGCCTTGTCGCAACGGACGGAGACTGCCGCGGATCATCCGGTTCACCACGAGGTTCACAACGTATGCCACATGTGTTGTGTTCACTTGGCCTCGAGTGATAGCAATTCTCGTCCACACTCATGAGTCGACGGACCGCGAAGAACCACACGACCTTGTGTGGCTATGGCACATCGTAACGGTGACTTGACTTTTTCCCCCCCCCAAAGGGCTTTCACGTACAAACCCGATGGCTGCTTTTTTCCCCCCTATGTTTCAGCGAGCCCAGAGCGACAGAACGGTGGCTCGTCTTTATGGTAGGAGGCCTCAACCTGGAGGGGGCGGGGGTGCATGGACGACAAATCGGCGACGAGCTGAGGTTTGCTCCATGGCGGTGAACTTCCGACATCGCCTGCCAGGGATTCTGGAGGAGCTGAGTGTTCGATGTGTTTCCTTCTAGGTTGTGTTTTGGATAAACGGCGAGCGGAAAGGGGGAGGTGCAGTTCAGGAAGACACAAGCAGCTGGCTATGATTGGCTATGGCTATGGCCCAAGAGAAGAGACCAGGTCAGTTAGGTTTGGGTCTATTCCCCTAAATTTTGTGAGCCATACCCCGCTGGATGAGGTAAAATATGAGATTGACCTTCGCCAAGCTCCCTGTTTGATCTCATTTAAACACCAGGGACGAGGGAACATACAATGTGTGGTTCATGAGAGGCTTTCAGGCTGTTCATAGACAGTGGGCTGCTTTGATGTGAAGTCATCCGTTGATGTAGGAACAACTGGCACCTCCCGTGATGAAGGCCACAAGAACAAGCGATGCTTATGACTGGTCTGCACAGCTACAGAACTTCTGCCCGCGGCTGCTTAAATGATCAGTCCATTGTATTTTACGAGTCCTTATAACATTGAAATGCAGTCTTGTCTAGTAGTGCTGCTATCACTCACACTTTGTCTAATCAAAACCAACTGCAGCCTGCACAGGAGGATGCAGGAAACTACCAGGCGAGCAGTCCTCAGGGTTCTCCAGGTTCCAAGTCACCTAGCGGAGCAAAGGGAAGCACTGATTCTCGGGCTCCATCAAGGTGTCATGGAGCACCAAAGAAGACGTATTTTCTTTAGCCCTAGGAGTGAAAGTATGAAAGACCCCCCAAAAGTATAAAACAGACCCACAAGCCACAGAGAAAAACAGAAGCTGATGGTAATCTAAAGGAAACCACAAACCAACTGAACAAACCGTTTATCAACGCATTTGTAAACGCTGCTTCGCAGGGCCTCCTTTGCTTGTGCCCCTCGGACTACGCCTCACCCGGCCTCGTGCGCACGAGCCTGGTGCGCGGGAAAGACACCGCTGTCTTTCGCCGCTGCGGTCGTGAGCCGGCGCGGAGGGCGGGAGGAAGGATTCATAAAATAAAGAGATTGAGAGAGAGAGAGAGAGAGTGAGTGAGTGAGTGAGTGAGTGGGTGAGTGAGTGAGTGAGAGAGTGTCAGAGTGAGACGAATTCCTGAGAGAGACAAAAAAGAGATTCATGACGAATAGTTGAGAAGTTTAAGAGATCAAGAAGGTCCAGCAGAGTGGAGACTGCCAGTGAAAAGAGGACGTGGATGATGCGGGAAAACAGAGGACTTGCTGAGTCCGCACTGCTCAAGGCTGAGCCGCTGCCAGACTTCTGGGAGACCTTGAGCTCGCGGCTGGCCGCCGGCGACTCAAAGATGGACTGTCAGGGTGTTGGGCTTTCATCCATATGCAGCACGATGATAGATAGATGATAGATGTTCTATGATGTTCTTGCGTATAGGCCAGCCAAAGTGCCGGTTGGGGGAAGGCATCTATTTGAAGAGCAATTTTGGAGGCTGTACCAAAAAGTTCCCCGGAACTATTTCCTACACCCTTGTGGGGTGTCCTGCTGAGACACGTTTCCATGTTTCAATCAACTCCTGCTTGCTCAAACGTGGGAAGGAAACACATGAGCTTTGAAGGGCGTCCTGATCAGCTTTGTGATTGATGTGAACTTCCGAGGTCATCACTAGCTGGGCATTCCAGGGTGACCCTGGTCTCGAAGGATGTGAGATGATTCTTCATTTGCCTCATTTCGACCTCGATGAGGCCAGCTATCAAATGTCAGTTTCTTTTTCTTCTGCATTGTTTTTGTTCGGCATAATTTACTGCAATATTTTTGGACACCACGTGTGAGGCAGTAATTGGAATCTGTACATGGTTTTTTCAAGAGAGGTTTATGCGACATTTGGCTCCGACCTCACCGCGCATCGATAGTGAAAAAGACAATAACCAAGAGAGATTTCCTATTCTTTTTTTGAGAGTGGCAGGCTGTGAGAGTGCACTTTTTTGCTATTTTTAGAATTCCATTAAGTCATTTGACATGTATAGTTTTTTGTAAAATCTAGGCCTAAGAACAAATGAAAAATAGCAAAAAACTGCACTCTCAGGGCCTGCCGTTCTGTTTTTTTTCTAAGCAGAAACGACATGGTCACTGAGGTGAACTCTGACATGGCTGTGATCTTCAGGCCACGTGCTGGGCAGCTCGCGGTGGGGGCCCCAGATCAAATCAAAACCGATAGGATCTGATCCGAACGCATGGACTGGTTGAGGATATTGAGAGAGGCCGTAGACTATTTTCTGTTTTTGTTTTTCTTAAAGGTTTGTTTGGACCACACGACTACATAGATCTTTGTGACGACCAGTTTAAGGGAATGAATGAATCGATTTCTGCGCAGGAACGGCATCAGATCACTTCTTAGCAGTTTGTGTTAGTAAGTCAGAAGCCTTCTTTGCTGCAAGTTTAACACAGCTTATTAGTGTCTTCGAAAGATCTATGGCCGCCAATCTGACTTTTAAGGTCATGAGCTTCCTCAAGGACTTGGACATGGATGAACTAGTGAAAGGAACCGATGTCTTTGGAGGACCTTTGTCCACTGATGTCTTTCGCGAAGAAAAGAAATCTCGCAGACCTGGTGAGCACCGATGTCAAGGAATCGGTACTGGTTCTGGGTACTGGGGGGATGGTAAGGAATACTGTGCTAGTGAGAAATTTGTAATTACTTCCAGTCTTTGCGTTGTGGATTTCAACGATCTACACTCCCTGAAACAAGCATGGAAGTGGAACAGCTTCCATGATTGTCCTAGAGAAACCTACTGTATCCTTCCTGTAGGTGGTTTGCATGGTCAGCAAGCGGTGATAAATAGATAAGCAAATACATATATACATATAAAATAACTATTTGTACTTGGGACTACTTTAGTGGGTATTGAGGCCAGTTGAATCCTTTGACAGATCCTGTTATCCCCTCTTAAACCTCAGCTACCCATCAAAGCTAGCAAGGAAAACAGGGGTCACACTTCGACTCCAGCATGCTGTGGACGGGTTGAGGCTTTGCTGATGTTGGAGCAGGGCTTGACTTTTGAAGAAGCCTGGAGCTTATGCGAGAGGCGTGGACACAGCAGGGTTCGTGTTGGGAGGGAGCCTTGAAGGACTGAATTCGGAGAAGCCCTCGATGTTTGGTTTGAGCATTTTGATCGGGGTTCCCATGGTTTAGACACTGCAGGTAGAGTCCAAGTTAAAGGTTCCAGGTAGAACACTCTGTTTAGTTCAGTTTCACCTGGGGTGCTGTACCGGGATGTGCCATAGCTTTTGGCAGGAAGCGGCCGATCGTGTATCCAAATGTCGGGAGCTGAATGATTGCTTTGGTATGGTGCTGCTGATATCTCTGCAAACCGCAAGCCGCGCGATTTGGCCTAGTCTTCCCTGCTACCAGAATCAGAATACATACACGGATGTTGCGACTTGGGCGTCAAAGGACATTTTTGTTGTGTCATTTTTGATGCCCAAGATGTGACAATGTCAAGGTGATGTGGCACCCATTTTTTTCGAGGATGTTTATGTATAGCTGTATAAAACCTCATAATGCCCACAATGCCAAGATATGTTTTCAAAGCAGTCTCAAGCTGTTCGGATGAACTTGGAACTCCATGACGCTGGTAGCGGTGAACCCGTTTTTGTCCTGGCCTTGGCTGAAGCTCGTGTCTCAGGTCGGCTTCCAGCAGCAACTCCGGTATTTGGAGAAGATCATGACGAAGGTGGTGGACTTCAAGGCATGCTCCGAGTCGAAAAAGACCAGCGCAACGGAACTCTTCAGATGCTATGGTCGCACTGGTGTGGTCGGTGTGCCAGGTACCTTTACAGGCACAACAGGCTTTGGTGCATGGCTAGCGTAATTCATGCCTCCTGTGAATCATGTGCGTGGAGCAGCCTTGCAGTGAAGGTGCTAGATTATGCCGAACTGAACGGCCCTGCATGGTCAAAGTGTGCATATGCATCTCAAAAACATAGATCTTCTGCCCAGCCAGCTGGAAGCGCACCAGAGTTTTGGCCACACCGACGGTGGCACCGAAACGATTGCCCAAGTCCTAAGAGCTCTGGAATGCTACCTAGAATACATCCCATGTGTTCCATGTGCTGTTTCCTATCTCCGCGTTCCTTGGTGCTTGTTTTGCTAATTTTGCTAATTGATGATAAACACATATATTCAATGCTTTTCAATGCGGAGCTTATGCAATTGTCGTTCCTGTGAGGAAACCATTGGGAATTTGATGGTGTGCGATGCGGGATTGCTACGGATTGAAATAGTAAGTATGAAGGTCTCCGATTTGGTTGGCAGTCGTCCAGGTCACAGGTTGTTCTTAGATACAGAAGCACAAGCTGGTTTGCAGGCACCATGGCCAAAGCAGATCGAAGCTTTGCGGGAGGCACGTGCTGCCAACATCATCATTTTTGTAAGATGAGTCTGAAAAATCCACCAAATGCCGAAGCCACAAAGTGTGAGCTGTTATTTTGATCCCAAGAAGCTAGCAACTGCGAGGCGTTTTTGATTGACCTTCACCGCATCATCTGAGCGCACAACTGCCAGCCTGCATGGCGCCATGGACGACTTGTTTGGGGCCCCTCCATGGTCAAACAACCCATTTGCTGAACCTGAGATCCTTCACCGATTGCCACTGATCGCCATCAGCGGCCGATCCAACGCCCGACAGGCTTTGCCCAAGGGCGATCTGGAAGCCGCTGCGTGCGACGCTGAGGTTTTGGTTCGAAACGGTGTAGTGTTCGCCCAGCCCGTTGGCCAGAAGTCTCGGTGGAACAGTTCCCGAGGGAAGCGAACTTGAAGTGAATTTCACAAGTTTGGGACGCCAGTTGCGTCCTGAAGAGACCCTTGTGCAAATGAGACATCTTCTGAAGTAGAGGAGCAACTCTTGCTTCAACGGCCCCTTCCGCCCCAAAGGTGGGGGAAAGATGTGGGCAAAGACACAAGCCGGCAACAAACCGGAGTATGCGCGCACGATTCTCACTCTGCATCATGCAACTCTGCCGGTGGTTTTCGACTCCCCAGACTCTGAAATTCGGCGTGAGTCTTTTTGGACCAGCGAAGACTGCACTTTCCGGGCCTTGGTCCATGAAGCTTCATGACCTGCATGGCAGGAGCCTGGTCCATCTTATCCACACATCCACTTATCCAGGCCCCAAGATCATCAACCTCTCCAGGGATCTTCGCGGCTTGAGGTCACCTTTACCCATTCGCGAGGCCATCGGCTCCTGCATGGGCCAGGCGCAGTGCCCAGAGGAAGCCGCGTGATTGATCGGGGTGCTTGGTGTTGATTGAATGATCTAAAGTCACTAGGGGATCCTTGTCTACCAATGGCTTTTAGGCTTTTACTCTTAAATCTAAGTTTGTTGCCCAAAATTATTGGATGATATTCTGACACTTCCTTCTTTACTTCTTTTTGGTTTGTGTTGTCTTTTTCGTTGTTGCGGGAAAAAAGACCGGTGGTTCCCACTCTTCCTCTACTTGTCCACCTGGCCATCCGGGTTCCAAGGTGGACATCATGGAAATGGAGTGAAACGTCTCAGTCGAACGTCCTGTGAAAAGCTTCTTTTGTGTGAAAAGCTCTAAGAATTGAGGCTTTGATCTTCCTATATGGTTGTTGGGAGATGTTGGGAGTGGTTTGACTTCATAGAGATTTGGCAGACCTCTTGCGATCCGATTGTCCTTTGGGCCCATCGACATTTTCTATAGATCCCCTTTTCAGCTCGATTTAAGGGACAGACAAGAACACCGAGGATGTGGTTCAATGATGACGCATGATGTAGCTATTATATAGGTATGGTATGGGTCACCCCGTTTTGTTACGCCTCAAATCCATCCAGTCCCGTCAGGCCCTCAATGAGCTCGAAGGCTTAGTTGAGAAGGACTGCGGCGGGGATGCAAGTTGCTTTTGTGTGGAGCCACACCGTCCGGGAGAATGCCACTTCCCAAGAAGCGGCCAGGTGTGTTTGTGGTGCCGTCATTTTCAGATATCACTCGCTCCCAAACGCGCCCCTTCCTGGCGAGTTTTAAGCCCTTTTCCATTCATCGGTTTGGTGTCATGAGTGACTAATTCCACCGACTCTGCGACGCCACTCTCGAGCTCTCCGCTGTACGAATACGGCACCCTTCCAGGTTCTGACCCAGCCTCAGCCGGCTCCTCAGGGGGCACGTCCTTCTGGGGGAGTTTGGGTCCTTCTACCCGTGGGAAAAGAGTCGACGCTCCGAACGTAGCGCTTGTTTCGGGTCGTTGTAGCGACGTGTGAGGGTTCGCTGATTGCACATCGAACCCTCACACAAACTTGGGCATGTGGGAATGCTTGAGAGCTCCCTTTTTTCGTTTGAAATTCATCAGCTGAGTCTCACAGGTTGCTGCAAAAGCGCGAGCTTTGGAAGCGACAGGGGCCCGGACGCCTCAGTGACTTGTGTTGCAGAGGACTGAAACTCTTCTTGTCCGAATACCGAATCACTTTTTCTATTTTAACACCCAGTTTCGATGGTTGTCATGTACTTTCACCGGACCCACTTTCGACAAGTCGGTTAGGTTTTGATCCATCCGCGACCCCACGAGCGGGTCAGAAGGCGGAAACCACGAGCGCCAGACCATGCTCCCCACAAGTCCGTAGAGAGGACAACGCCCGAAACCAGTGTGGAAGTTTGTACTGCAGGTTCAAGCCAATCAATTCGGATGCAAGGGAATCAGTCATGGTGAAGTAAGCAGGTACAGTACAGAGCAAGATATTGCAAACACACCAAAGAGCGGCAGCTGTGAGGGCATCAAAGAGATTCTCAGTTTCTTGCTGGAGTCATGCTACAAGAATCAGATCTGGTTGCTACAGCATCACAAGAATATATACACATCTTGTGCCATGGCCGATGAGCAACTTGCGCTTCTCTCTTCCATCACCTGCAAAGACGTGGAAACCTGCCGCATTGCCTTGGCACGTGTAGGATGGGACCTGAACCAAGCTGCCCAGCAGCTAATGTCTGAGCAGAGCTCGATTGGCCGCTGCACATGCGGAAAAGAAGGGGAAGGCTACTATGGCCAAGGCGAGGAATCTCCAGGATGGCCTGAAACAACAAATACAAATCTCGTGTGCGTAGGGCATTTGGACACCGCCTTTTGCAGGTCCTCATTTGGACACCAGGGCTTCGCGCTTCGGTGGTGAGACATTCTTCATAAAACTCAGAGGATCTTCATGCGCTTGCGCGCGTAGACCACCACGGCCACCGAAGTGGGAGACAGGAAAACGTCCTCTGTTGAATTGAGGTAAAAAGGTTCATACCCCAATCTAGATTCCATTTCCACCAGGTTCCTATTCTCAGACCTTCTTCTGCCGAGCTTGCTGGAGCCAATGGTCTTTTGATGCGGAAATGGATCAGGTGGCAGAACAGGAGGGGATGCTACAACGAGACTTGGGGCTGCTGGAGGCTGGGGTATTGAGTTGTTAAACAAACTTCCAGTGTGCCCAGCATGGACACACCTGCAAAACTTCTTACTAGTGGGTTGAGAGTAGATGGCACAATCCCCAAAAGGTGGTTTATATGGACCCCTATATAAAAGACATATTGGGGTTTGTGCCATCTACTCTCAATCCACTGTAAACCCTCATCAACCCCCCAAACACGAACCTCAAAAGGTAGTGATTCAGTTCTGCCACATGATCCGAACTCCACTTTTCGTAGAATCCGAAGTCAAGACCCCGTTCTGCTGGAACCTTCCCTTCAGGCCTCCCAGCTGGAGTTCTTGGGTGCCGAGTACTTTCGCCGCTTGGAGCAGCGCTGGCAGGAGCCCGTGAAGCGCACTGGGGAGTACTTCGCGTGGACCGCTGAGGGCTCTCAGGCCTGGGACGCCTTGGCCACGGCGGCGCGCCAGGGCGTGGCGGAACTCTCCCGCAGCGAGGTTGGCATGGAGAGTGCTGCCAGGTTCTTGGCCGGTGCGGCGAAGGATTGGTTGAGAGGGATGTTGTTCAGCATGTTTTCCGAAGGAAGAAGAAGGCGAAGCATTTTCTTTTCTTTTTGAGATGCAAGAGTCTAATCTGACCTATCATGGAGACACATGAATTTAAGCATTTCAATCCTCAGACAATTTGCTTACCCCGGGTGTTTGGTCTGCAGGAGGCTGGGCCACAACTCTGGAAACTCCTCACCATCTATGAAATCCAAGTGGCCTCCCAACTCCCCAGGCGGCAAGCCAGAGAAGCCAAGCCGGTAGGCTGTACAGGCGTGGCGTGCGCCAGTGGACTGCTGGGGCAAACAGAGGAGGTGGACGTCTACATCTATGACTATGGTCGACGAGACATCGTAGCAAGACTCCAGGCACCGGGCTCTTCGGCGCTGGTCTATGACCCGGCCTGCACCTTGTGCCCCATTGGCATCGGCACCTCCGGCTTGGCGGTCTCGCGGTTCACCCTCTACCCGCGCGGTCTCGCGGGTCGCCCGGCCGCTTCACGGTGCGGGCGCTGGAGCGGCAGTGGGGTGGGTGGACTGCCACTGGCGGCCATTTTGTGGGAACTCTTATTGGGTCCGCGCAACCTTCCAGAGGCCATCGAGTTTCTCAAGGGGCTGGTTTCGCAGAGTGCGCCACCACTTGCTGGAGCAGCCATGATGCTGATGCAGCCTGGTTATGGAGTTGCCATGGTCGAATGGTCATCAGAGGAGATTTCCGTGTCGCCCATTGCCATGGAAGGAGTTCTGGTGCATGCCAACCATTGCATTTTGGATTTGCGGGATGCAGAGAACCCAAAGATAGCCAGACTTTTGGAGGATAGTCGGAGAAGACAAGCAGTTGTTGAAGGCAGGGTCGGCTGAAATGTGTTCAGATTATTACGGCAATTGATTGTTCCTTCCAAATGACGGTCGGACAAAAGCCACACGAAGGGGAATCTCTTGCCCGAGGCTTGTATGCAGAAGAGCTGCTGGCCGGCAAACCGCCTATACTAGGCCTGAACCAGCTCCAGTCCTTCTTATCAGCGACGGGTGTGCAAAACGATGATGTTTTGGCCACAGTCATCAGCTGTCCGGCCAGCAGAGCGTTGTATGTGAGATTTCGCTTGCAGGTCACTGGCATGGAACGGGTGGAGGACACCATCTCTTGTGATTTCTGGCAATGCTTCGAAGGGTAGCCACACGTATGGAGTAGGGGTGTCGTCACGTATGGAGTAGGAGAGCACGTCCCAAAAGCGGACTCCACGCGCGTGACGCGAGTGGATGCTCCATCCGACCCTACCACGATGCCCATGGTTGAGCAAGCCTCGTTGGACCGGTCTCAGAGCGAGACGCTGAGCGCATTTCGCTCCACACAGGAGCCCGTAGTGTCCTTGCTCCGTTAGCGATGCCAGCCCCGATCGTAGCGTCCAACCCACTTCGATTTGAACCCAACCGTTTTGAAGGGTCAAAACTCAGCTCAGCTGGAATAGTCACCCCCACGCACCGAACCAGGCGCGACCGCGCCGAAACGGTGGCGTTCGGTGCCCGACCGACGATGCCGACGGCCGAGCTGTTTCCGATGTACATAGGATGTTTGCCCGAAAGGCGACAGTGAAACAAGCTGTTGAGTCGAGAAAGGGTGGTCGATGCGTTATATTCTATATTCTTCTGGGCTACTTACTAGGTTACTATGCTCTGCACCTGCCACACGTCATGTCAAATGGCGTCCTTCATGCCTTTGCACTTGCTTCTCATTGGTCCTCCTTGAAAGTCTTGCAGCAATCTGGCCATACCTCTTTGGTTTGGGGCATTGAACTGGTCTTTGCCAATATCCGATCAGAAAGCGAGAAGGGAGCGCGATCGTGGGGAAGACGGTGCCTTTGGCTCTGGGTGACCGTGTTTTGGTGAAACGGAAGCCTAAAAGGTCAACCATCTCTTCTATAGAGGGTGGAAAACGATTGACATGATCAACGGTCAACATTGCATGTTTGGTCGGGCTGGGTGATGGAGAGATTTCTTCGACGGTCCGACGGTCCGACGGTCGAGTCCGACGTGCATTTCTCTAACTGGGACACATACCAACGACCACAACGAAGCAAAGCAGCAGTCGAGCCACCGGCCACGAGAACTTTCCCGACATCGCTTCCGACCCGATCCCGCGAAGCTACGAGTACAGCCGGGTGAGGAGCAGAGCATAGCAGAGCTCATGGCCCACAGTATGGGGCTGCTGAAGTATAGAGAGAAATGAAATAGTGTTTATGTTTATGTAGGAGACACCTGTTCATCCTACTTGTTCACGCCACTCCGGCCTTCATTGAGAAGCAGATTTGGGCACTGCCACGGTTGACTGGGACCATCTAGCAGATTTTTCAGGCTGTTCTTCGAGAACCTGCACAAGTACAAGCGGGGGCCTTTGCTGTGCCATTTCACCAACATTAGGAAGTCAGCGTATCATAGCAGAATATCATAGCATATCGATTCCTTTTCCTCTCAGACGGTATTGGGCCTCAAGTTTAGCCCACCAATGCAGCTTGGATGTGACCGGAACGAGGCCATGATTATGGATTCTTTAAGATAGAAGTTTCTTCCCGTGTGTCAGGAATCTTCAAGACCGCATGTTTTTTTCGACCGCCGCGCTACCAGGGCCATTCCAGGGGACCTGGCTTTGCTTGGCCGGGCGAAGACGGCTGCCGAGCAGTTGAGGTTAGGAGAGCAGTCGAAAGAAGACTTGACCCCATAGGTGACCACCTGGAGGGAAATATTTTTGAATCGGCTTTTCATTTTTTCTCGTTTTCTCTTGTTTTTTTTGAAACAGCAGAACAACCATGTCTTTTCATGTTTTTGTTGTTGTTTTTGGAGTTCCTTGAAGGACATCAATGTATTCTTGCATATTTTGCACATATCTTTTTTGCTCATACTTCAACCTACAAGTTTGAGACATGGGTGAACTCCTCTCTCACTCTTCTCGGAGCAATTGACAATTTGCCGGTTGCACTACCACATCGTTGACCTTACCCGGTCCTGCAATTCTCTTGAAGAGAGCAGCGACTAGATTTCGCTTTTACCACGCCTAGGGTGCTTCAGTTCAGGTACGGGGCATTTCAACCCTTTTCTATACCAATGTATTTTGTTTGTTGATCAATCCCTTTCTGGAAGGCCCGTTGGTGACTAGGGAAGAGGATTCTTTTTCGTCAGGATTGTCACAATCAAGTTCACTGCAGAACTACAGACTCCTTCAGCACATGGGGCAAGGCCTCCCAACCATGGCGGCCAGGTCGTTGCAAAAAGTCTATAGTCAATCCCTGAAAGGCGCAAGGGCCCCAAGAGCCTCAGGTGCACGGTCTTCACATCACAAAAAAGGTCGGCCTGAGGCAGCAGGAGGTTCTTGATTCTTGCCATGTGGGATTCCTCTTCTAAATTTGAGCGTTGCCTCAGATGGTCTCCGTTGTGTTTGGGTTGTTGGATGTTAGTGACACGAATGTGGCGAGCTTTAGTTCTGCACTGGGGATATCGCCAAGGGCTGCCAAGGACACGCAAAAGCAAACGCAGTGCATTGACATTCTCAGTGCAAACCCAGGTTGGAATTGTAATTGGGGCTAGTTAGACAGCAATGATTGGTGGGTTTGTGGTGGACTTCTGAGGTCCAGCTGGCCAATGCAGTTGCACAAGAGTTGGAGGAGCGACCGACTCTGACGTTTTGCGTTTGGTTGTGTGTGTGCTGGCCTGACCCAACATCCAAGAGGCATACTGGCATTTTAGTAGAGATTCAGCATGAATCGATGGACATAACAGAGATAAATAAACATGGAGGGTGGGAGGGCAGAACCGCTCTCAGAAGTCCTTCTGGGCTCAAGAGCCCTGAAGGATCCTTTGTTTTCCACCCCCCTTTTGTTTAGAGGGGTGGCGCGGGCCGCGAATGGTGCTCATTGGTCAGGGAGAGGCCAGTGGGATTGGAACGATTCCGGACCTCCTGACGAGCCTGGCTGTTCCTGATCATGTATGGCAAGCCTTCATCAACGTGGCCGGAGACCCTGGTAATGATGTTAGGTTGATTGCGGCGATGCCCCCATGGACCATCCCTCAAATCGTGAATTCCTCGACACTGGCTGATGGTGAGCGGTTGACCCCCATTCAGGCGGCTCAGGTGGGGCTGGTGTGGCGCAATGCTAGATGGGTAATTCACCTTAGAGGAGGAGGAGAGGCTAGCAGGTTTGTTGATACTGACCCTTGGTCAATGCCCAGCAGCGGTGGACCTCCTGATGGACGTGGAGCGACAGAGCCTGGAACCACGGCGAAGGCTGCAAGCAGCGGAGGGGCTTCAGGCAGCAAGGAGAACTTGTTGAAGATGGCCAACTTGGTGGACCAGACGGACGACTCAGAGACGAAACTGCCGGATGCACTGAAGCTCAACGAGTGGACGCAGAGGTACATCGCAGTGATGGGTGCTCCACCTCAAGAAGAAGAAGAACCGACAGATGCGCAGTTGGCAGCTTTACATCACAGGGTGGCTGTGCAGAAGCAACCTCCCTACGTCGACTTCTCGGTATGGTTGCCGTTTGGGAGGAGGGTCCTCAAGAACCAGAAGTTCAGGACCTTCTTGCCTATAGGCGACGGGTCCTTCGTCATGAAAGAGCTCCCCGGTCCGCAGAACCTGCGACAATGGATGGTCAGTTGGAGAGTGTTCAAAGCCGCATGCATTTGTTTGAACATCGTGACATTGGCCGCCTTGCAGCTCTACGAGAAGGTCATTGAGAAGCTGGTGATTCAGTGGCCCAAAGCGTGGGGCCTCATAGCGCAGGCGGATGACAAAGCGAGAGCTGAGAAGCTTGAGAAGATTCGCAGGTCCATCGTCCTCGACATAGCAGCGGGCGGAGCACCTCCCAGAGAGTTTTCAGAAGATGAACCATGGACGGCATGCTTTAGAGCCTTGGCCCTTGATGAGACCTTTTGGAACGAGCAGGTGAGACATCCTGCAGCAGCTTGGTTGGCCAGCGGGGCCCATGGCGCTCCGAGGCCCCCAGCCGAAGCGATGGCGCTAGCACATCATCCGGGACCTCCTGCTGAGCATGGGGATTGGGATGAAAGAGGCGAGCGAAGGCGACAGGCCAATAGGGACAAGAGGTCAGCGAAACGCAAACGTTGGGCTGCAGATCGCGAAGAGCTCGTGAACTTGCGGGAGCAGAGATCCAAGGGGGACTTCAACAAGGGCAAGAGCAAGGGCAAGGGAAAAGACCAAGCAGGTCAAGAAATCTGTTATAGTTGGGCCAAGAACGTAGGCCCATGTGCTGGCTTGTCCGCAGGATCGGAGTGCAAGGGCAAGGTCAAGCGGATCCACAAGTGCATGTTGTGTTTCTCTCCGGCTCACCAGAATGCGGAGTGTCCAAAGAAGACGGCGTCCCCCGTGTGACCCTGAAGGGGCCGTGGGACAAAGGGTGCGGTTTTCCTCTCGTTTCGAACGAGGGGGGGGACAGTTACGCGTGGCTTCGATTCGACGGGGATCGAGGGAGGGAGCCGGGGAGGGGAGTGATGACGTGACCGAATCGTGTTCGTAGGTCGTCGCAACTGAGGGAACGTCGTCGTGCGTCTCGAGTGCCTTGGTCGAACCGTTTCGAGGGTCGGGGAGTGACGAAAGGACGGGACTGGACGACGAGACAGAGTGAGTGACGCCGAGAAGCCTGGGCTCGTGAGACGGGCGGGTTCAGGGCGAACATCATGGCGGGGTCGAGCAAGAGCCTGGGGCAGCCGAGCCTGGACGAGCTGCCGGACAGGATCAGCGATGCCCTGAAGGCGGCCAGGGACTTCCCGGAGTACCAAGAGTTGAGGAAGTTCAGATTCCTACACATGTTCAGTGGCAAGGAAGACGTGTTGGGCAAATGCTTGACGGAGATGGCCAAGCGTGAAGGTCTTCAGCTGGAAGTCTATAGCCTGGACAGGCTGGGCGAAGGCGATGTCGATTTGACCAAGGACCACCCTTTCATGGAGCTCAGAGAGGAGGCAAACGCATCGGCCTTTGATGCAGCGCATGCAGGTTTTCCGTGCAACACGTTCAGCAGGGCGAGATGGAACATGGTCAACAGAGGTCCTCCCCCGATCAGGTCCCTGCAACGCATATATGGCTTGCCATCCAACTCGCCGGAGGAGCAGCAGCAGGCGGATGTGGGGACTTTGCTGGCGTCCAGGTCGGTGGAGATCGTCGGGGCCATCCTGAAGGACCAGCGCAGGCGGAGGGTGCCAGAGGCGGGGACGTTAGAAAACCCGCCTGGGAGCGACACCAAAGAAGAAGGACCGGCCTGGGAACTACCGGAGGTCAAGACGTTCATGGACGCGTTTGAGTGCCAGGCAGCTGATTACAACACGTGTGCCTACCAAGGTGATGAACGTGTCAGGTGGTACAAACCAGGTCGATGGGCTGGGCGGCTGTTGGACTTGAACAGGTTGAGCAAGCAGTGCATGAACCCCTAGTCGGAGCTAAGCGCACGTCCCTGGCTGCCCAATATCCGCGGAAGCTATGTGAAGAGTACTGCAAACTAGTAGTGACAGCCTTCAAGCATACCCTCCAGCTGGAATACTGGCGGCACAAACTGACCACCAAGACGGAGGAGGTTTCGGAGCTCAAGA